ATATCCCAAGGAGCAGGGCATCTTCAAATCTGGAAGAGCTGGGCACTTTTTTGTCTTCATTGAAGCTCTTAAGAGTGAAACAACAAGCGAAAATGACCATCTATTTTCAAAAAGGTACCAATTCACATACTTTTTATTTCTCTTCAAGGACTTGATTTTAATTAAAGAGGGGGTCTTCTCTTTATATATTTAGCTGTTTAATGTTTCTTTTTTCTGTTTCATAATGATATTATGATGAGATTCATGCTCTGTGATTCTAAACAGAGCAGATGTGTAATATTTGACCTCACAGAGAGTGATGCTTATTAAACTGCTGATGATAGTCTTTGTACAACATTAATCTTTGTAGAAAATTTGATCTTAATCGGGTGACCAACACTAATAAAGAATATCAAAGTTTTATAATTTCTACTAGATTAGAATCTCTTTTTAATAATGGTGTTGGGAGATATAATTTATTTCTTCTTTAGCTTAACTATTATATACTGTAATATATAAAAGGCTGGTATGTTTCAGAATAGAAAGTTTAGCATATTTATATGCAAATCTGCATAATGAAGCAATATTACAATAGGAGTAGGCATAGGGAAATTACATCATTTAATACCCTTCGTTAGAGAGGATGGTGACCTAGATAACCTATTTAATTTTAACATTAGTACCTGTCTTGTATATATGGTATATATTGACTTCTTGTGTTTACATAAATTATATAATTTATGCATATTTTATGTAAATTATAAAATATATAATTTATGTAAACACAAGAAGTCAATATATACCATATATACAAAGTACAATAAAACATTAGTACCTGTCTTGTATATATAAGTATATATTGATTTCTTGTATTTACATATATTTTATACTTTACAAGCCACTGATCCATGTTCTTACTTTATCCTCAAAGAAACCTTTGAAGACATTCTGTCTTATTATACCCATGTTACAGCTGAAGAAACTGAGTTAACAACTGAGGATCACATAAATGGTGAGGGATACACAGCTAAGAAAAGATAGAGCTGGAATCCACCAAAAGCCAGTGCTCTTTCCCCACCAGAAGCAGAAGGTAAAACAGCATTACACTATGGAAACTTCTTTTTCCAGTAACTGTCATTTCAGATTACAAATACATTTTTAGAGAAATAGTTGGGCTCTGACATGTAACTCTGTGTGTGTGTGTGAGAGAGAGAGAGATAGAGAGACTTCATTATGAAATATCAGAATATATACTATATAGTAACCTAATAAGTTTCAATATATGTAATTCATTTTGCAGGTAATGTGCCAAGAGAGACAGATGAATATTTATCTAAGATGGAAAGCTTCTAGGAAGCATTGTCTCACTTATTTAGTCATTATTTCCAATTTGTCAAAAACTAATTGATACAGAGTATAACTTCGATATCCTAACACAGCTAAGACACTTCCTACAAATCAATTAACCATGATTCAGAGCTTGGAATTGTACTTAACTGCTATGTGATCAAAAGATAAACAACTGGAGGTGTCATAACTGCACATTTTTGTTATGAATCCTAACATTTAATGGACTAAAAGCGCAGTATGATACAATATTTCTGTGAGTTCCCTGTGTTGGAGGTACTGTTTGTAACTATAACTGAGTTCATTAAACCCAACCAGGCAGTTTGTTAATCAGTAGGCTGGATTGGCAGACAATGCGATAGAAACTGTTTATTGATGACATGCTTAATATTTTATATTAATATAAAAAGCTGTTGCTTTGGCATATAATCAGATAACTTGGAGCTGGCAACAAGTATCATGAACTGTTTCCACTCAAATTAACTTTTCACATACCAGAAGGCTATCAAAGTACTGTGGATATGAGAACACCTTCAGAAGATGGATGATGAAAACCATCATGGAAGCCAACAAATGAATTTGGTTTGAATGACGGTGTATCTCTGACTTGTAAATCAACCAGCAAAGAACCACACCTTCAGCCAAAGTACTGGACTAGAAAATAACTGGCAGTCCATGCTTTGTTTTCGTTCATTGTCTGAATTATGACATCCAAGTGTAAGTACTCCCTATGTGAAGTCTTTTAAAAACTCTTGTTATGAAGAGTGAGACTCGCATCAATGATTTCCCTCTAAGAAGTGAAAATAACGTTCACACAGAGAAAAAAACACAAATGGGTGTTCCCATTTTCTGTGGCTAATCATAAAGAAGAAAAATTGGAAGTCCAAAATGTAACAGTTTCCATTTTAATTCAACTGGCTTGTTACAACTGTATACACTGGTCCATACATAGTGTACTGACCCTATGGACAAATTACAATAAATTATTTCAAATGTAATTTTAATGTTTTCTTACATAAAGACAACCTGATGAAATTACTCTGAAAACACCTTCAACAAGTCCACATAAATGAATACCACACAAAAAAGAAGTTTGATAAGACAAAACAAAAAAGAGCAAATTCTGTAACATTTTCAAAAAATGCACTGCATATTCAAATAAATACCAAACTAATATTATATTTGAGAATATTATAACTTCATTTTTAATTTTAGAGGCCATTATGAAAGCAGTATTATCCTTAGAAATTATTTAACAAAACTATAAATTGCATTTTCAAGTCAATACGTGAATATCATTTTTTGTCTCTGACGAACCATTTCACAGGGAGAAAGAATTGGCTTGTATTCTATGAAAGATGTAAAGCGGATGGAAATACTGTAATCTGACAGTGTATGACTTTTATTACAAACAATGAAAACATTAGTGACATCTATAATGATTGGGTTATACAACTACACAAACGTACACCAGATCAAATAACTCCTTTCTGTAAGACTATGACAATTTCATAGAGCAACAACCTCATGTACTTCCTACAATTGCCATTCAATCAGGTAATATCATTTTCAATCCACAATATGACATAAAACCCACATAGACAGCAGATACAGTTTTTCTCATGCCCATCGGCCGCTCTGGGTGCACACACAGGCACAGAGCAATATCAACTCGTCAAAGAATCATGTTTAAGACTGAAACACTAGGCTTAAAAGGAAAAAAAAAGAAAAGGAAGGAGAAATGCCTGCTACTTCATCTATCACTTCTTTTTGGAAGAAATTTTATATTAAAACAATGCAATGGCCACCATAGTGTGTTCAAAGTGCTCTCGGAAAGTTCCCTGAATGTGAATAAGGTGAAACTAAAGCAATACTGCTAAAAAGTGATCGCAGCATTCAATTAACTTGAGTCGTAGAGACCTTGCCAGTCCTTCTGCATCACCGACTTGTGGTTAGTATAATCAAAAGCCTCCCCAAATGCAACATCCAACTCCGAATGTAATCGTCTTCCTTCAAGCCCTGAGTCCTTGTAATTTACAGATCAGTAAGGACACCACTTAGCATTTTCCCCCAACAACGTTAGGAAGATTCTGCGTATGGTGACCATGCGTTAACAAAAGAGATTTTAGGACAGTTTAAAGCATCTAGTTCATATCTGAGGATACTCGCCCCTATATGTCACACTTCTTGTAGCACAAATCCCCAAAATAATACACAGGTTCACCATCATAACTTGATATCAGTCATTGGAAACACTTCTCCACGGGATTTTAGAGGTGGTGCAGCCCGGAAGCCTTGTCATTATGTAGGTGAATGACCAGTAGCAGAGACAAGCTGGACTCCCCTCAGTAGCTCAGCCTCTGATGAAGTATACACAGTGAGAGAACTCCTAGGGAGTTTCAGCAGCTCCCTATTTTCATGGAAGTCACTGCAGAAAATGCCAAGCCTCTTCAATATTGGTCACATAGTTCTTAAAAGTGGAAATTTACACCTGTCAGGCCCAATACTATGCTTACAACATTCTGTTTTCTAAGTCAACATATTCTCTTGGGCACAGTAAGCATACATCTGAACACCTTCCAGAGCTAAGGCGAATCAGATCAGCTCAAATGAGGCACACAAGAGAAAAAAAACACCTTGGAAACACAACCTGCCCCTCTCTCTCCCATCTCCCACACCCTTCATACCCCCACGGTTACAGCAAAATACAACTTTAGGCATTCTGGAAGTAACTGTTCTTTGTGACAAACACATACACACACACACACACACACACACACACACACCCCAAAAATTCCTAAGTCTGTTTTCCTACCACACGAACCAGGGAGGCTGCACCACCTTTCTAGTGACTTAATTCTGAACGTAGAGAGGCTCAACCCTGCTGAGTAGCAATCGAAGAAAACACATTACACACCAGAACAAGAGGAGGGTCGGGAAAAAAAAGAAAAAAGCAGCTTCGCTTTCAGCCATTAATTACGGATCACCCCAATTTCGCATCGCTTATCTCCAACACGCACGCACCGCCTTCCAAACCTGGCTTTCAGGCAGCGCTTTCTGGAGCCCGGCTGTCTATTGTCAGCACGCAGAAGCCCCCGAAACCTGTGAAGCCGGCTGCAAAGGCTTCCTTGGAAGCCGCTAAATATAGACCGAGGGGGCTCTGGGTCTGGCAAGCCGCGGGAGCCTGAAGACACGGCCATGGACGCATATGACTAAGTCTTTCCATTTTGTTCTAGCCAAACATCGTAATGACATTGAACATAAGGGCGAAAGACTAGAGGGAAGTCCTCCCCGCCCCCACCCCGTCTCCTCCCGTATATTGGGGACGTCATGAATGCACCGGGTTTGTTCTCAGGGTGGCGGGGAGCAGCATGTCGGTGCTGCCCTAAATACGCTTCCTCCCGGGGAGATGGGCGGCAGGGAGGGGGAGCACGCAGGGCAGTCACTTAGTAACCGCTTCGGGAAAGGCGCTCACCCCGAACCCCCTTCCAGGCACAGCGGCTTCCGAGGGGCACCCGGCGCGATCGCGGTCCTCCCTCCGGCAGGCAGGACCCCCGCCCCCGCCGCCGCCCGCCGGCCGAGAGCCCGGGACCACCCCCGCCGGCGGCCGGAGCAGGAGGACGGCGCCAGAGGAAGGCTGCGCCCGGCCCCGGCCGCCCAGCCCCGCGACTCACCCAACGGCGCGGCGCCCGGCGCCTTCCTCGCGAACATACACCCGCCGCGGGCGGCAGCTCCTCGGTCCGGGGAGACGCGTGCACGGCGCCGCCGGCTTCAGGGCGAGGTCCTGACCTTGCCCAACTGCAGCATCTTCCGCTTTTGTTGTCTGAGCGCGGCCGCGGGACGAGGGATGCCGGCGGGCGGCAGGGGCGAGCGCCGCGGGCGAGAGGCGGCTCCCGACGCGAGTGCGCGGCGCCCGGCCCGGCGGCCCCTCCGAGCGCGGCGAGCGCAGCGCCCCCTGCCCGGCTCCGCGGGCTCCGCGGGCTCCTCCGGACTCCTCGGGGCTCCGGGCGCCGCCGCCGCCGGCCGGCCGGGCTGACAGAGTCGCCTCCGCCGCCGCCGCCGCCGCCGCGCCCGCCGCGCCCGCCGCGCCCGCCGCTCCACTCGGCCGGCTGCCGCCGCGGGCGCGAGCCTGGGGCCGCCGCGGCGCCCGGCGCCGAGCGCTCCCGAGCTGCGCCCCGCGCGCGGCCCGCGCCACCTGTGCCGCCGCCGCCGCCGCCGCCGCCGAGGGCGAGGCTCCTCCCGCGGCGCGCGGCAGCCTCAGCCTCCACCTAAGCCCCGGCGGCCGGCCCAGGCGCCCGGCTAGTGAGCGAGCGTCCGCCCCGCCGCCGAAACCGGCCCCAGGTGCCGAGCATGCCCAGTGCCGCCGCCAGAGCGGCGCTTCGCCGCGCGCATTCCACTTCTCCTGGTTTTCGCGGCAGCAGCGGCAGCCGCGGGAGAAAGGGGAGGAGGCCGCGGGTTGGGAGAGGGCCGAGCATCCTTGGGAACGCACACCCTGGACCTGAGAAGGGTGGATGCTCCGGAGCTAGGCGAAAGCTGGAAGGGACCTGGGAAGGGATGGAACCCCGGCTGACACCTTTTCCCTCATTCACGTGCAGGGCGCTGACGGTTGACTCTGGTGGGGCAGATGTCAGCCTGCAACAAAGGGCCAGGGGTGCGGGGGTCCTAGGGCGGCCAGGTGGGTTGAGGGAAGAGGCCGGCAGAACATACACGCTGGTGGGCGCAGGTGGATGCTTTTGCAGATCTTGTGATTCCGGAGCTAAGAAGGCACGACGCTCAGCAGAGGTCCTCTCTACGGCACCTGCCCAATCTTGCCAACACCTCCCATGTTCAGATGACATATGTTTGGGCGGGTAGTGAGAGTTTCTCCTTAGGGAAAATCACTCCGGATTTGAATCTGGAATGCCTGTAAACTTCCTGCAAGAAAGACCCTTGCCCAGTCTGAAACTTGAACAGATTAAGTTCTCCCTTCCCCTCGTCTTGTGCCACCTGGTCCTCCTCTCTTGGCCCTCTTCTGCAGCACCTCTGCCACCTTCTCCTCCTTTTCTTCTTTCTTTCCCAGGCAACAGTGAACCACTCCTCTGATCCTTCCCTACAGTCTTGCAATGCATCTTGCATTGCCTTCTTCACGTTCAGATCGGTTTCCCACGTCACCTCCTGGTTTGACTGCTCCTTGACCTCATTGGGACTTCTCCATGCGTATCCTGCTGTGAAATACAGCAAGTGAAATCACCGGATTCAAAGTCTTGTTGAAAAACAAGACCCAAATCATGAGCCAAGGAAGGCCTCTGGGCCTTCGCCCCTGTCGCTCTGATTCAGGAGTCAGGACGGGGCTCACCCCTGCTGCATTCACAAAACAGGCCAAGCAGAGCACAACCTGCCAGGGGCCAGGGCAAATGTTCCTCCTAATTATGCCACATACATGACCCTGAACACCGCGGACTGTCTGAGGTTGTGATCTCCTCCACTGCACCCCTCCGCAGAGCTTGTTTCTGAAACACGAATAAGCATGACAGAATACAGGAAACTGTAATAAGAGGGATTTGGGGCTTATGAGTCTCAGGTAACATTGTGCTTCTATTTTGTGTTGGAAAAGATTATCCAACAAACTTAAATGATTTGAATATTCAAGTCTATTCTGTATTGTACTTGGGAGTAAGTGGAAATATAAATGGATCTTAAAGGAGAAAACTCATACAGAGGTTAAATAGGTAGCAAATAATTGTTGAGAGGAGCAGATTAAGCAAGGACTATTGACAGCAGTACAAATGTTCACTTTCATTCCTCCTACGCCAGGTGTGGACCTGCACACATAGGCTTGATCTCATCTGCAAAATCAGTTCTCCAAGCTGGCTTCAAGTGTTAAGGCCAGTTTGATATTAAAATGTCCTGAGTCTTGTGAAAGAAGATATGCAAGACCATTGTTTTTTCAGCACAGGCTTAACTAATTTTTATCTTCGTTCTCAGAAAGGCAGTTCAATTACATTGAGTACTTGGTACAAGACAAATTAGCAGCACCATATCCATTAGGTCACATTATATTTCAAGAGATGTTCTGGGTTCTCACCTGAGCTTCTGTCAGTCTGCTATTGTTTGGTTTTCTCTTTTCATCATCTAACTCAAGAAGTCAGTGGAGAAGTGGGAAAGGAGATAAGGGGACATCATTTACTCTTTAGATTAAAATCGACAGCCGAGGGCAGTGGCTCACACACTTTGGGAGGCCGAGGCTGGCGGATCACGAGGGCAAGAGATCGAGACCATCCCGGCCAACATGGTGAAACCCCGTCTCTACTACAATACAAAAAATTAGCCAGGCGTGGTGGTGCACACCTATAGTCCCAACTACCTGGGAGGCTAAGGCAGAGGAATCACTTGAACCTGGGAGGCAGAGGTTGCAGTGAGCCGAGATCACTCCACTGCACTCCAGCCTCACGACAGCGTTAGACTCTGTCTCAAAAAATATATATATTGACATAGAAGTGTAGATTCTATTCACAGAAAATATGTGTCTTTTATGCCTAATAGAGATCTAAGTAAAGAAAATAATTTCATAAAGTTTTTTTTTCAGTTATTTTTGAGATGAGCAATGGCACATCCTATCGACTAATTGTAAGCCTGGGAAGTGCACTGCAGGCAGTTCCTACAGATACTGTTGGGGCATAGTCAGGTGTGATAGGGTTATTTAGGAAGCAGAGTGGTAACGTCTAATGTCCTGGACTGCTTTGATTTAATTTGCTCAGTGCGCCGTTTCATTGAATCATTCATGATTTTTATTGTTCTAGAATAATTTGTAACAAGATATTATTAAATTCACAATTAGATAATATTGAAAAATAAAAGCAAAATGATCATGTGTAATGTTAGATCTTGGAACGACTCACTGCTGCCATCTTTTGCCTCCTGCTTCTGAAGTTCCTATAAAAAGGAACATTCTGAATCCTCAAATGCACTGTGAGACCAGAACATTATTAGTTTATTGTTTTCAAATTACAGTACTCAATGCTAAGTGAAAAACCTTCCTTGTATTTCTTCTGATTATGCCTTAATAGAGTTATGTGATACAGAAATCACGTATAAATACTAAGTGCTGTATCTCTTGATTTTTCAAATCACTTTTCAAAATTTGAGGCAAACATATTTTTATATGGAAGGGTAAATTAATTTTAGAAATAAAATCTAATAATTCAAAATATTTTTAATAAATGTAGGTGTCTTTTTTTGTAATTCAAAGTATGCCAATTTTAGGAGAATGACATTCTTATTTAAGTCTCAGCTGTTTAAATATGACATTGTTTGTTGCTATTGAGATTCAAATAGAAGATAGTATTTTTCTAATTTTTTAAATGAGTTACCCATTGATAAACAAGTGAGAAATTTTCAAATTGGGAAATGAAATCAGGTGAGTGATTATTGTTGCTGTTCAGCATTTAAATAGGGAGAGTAATATCCCTTTAAATTCACAATTTAAATTTTAAGAAAATTACCTGGAATAGTAACCAAATAGTGTCATCATAAATGTATATGTGTATATATTTGGGAGGCTAATGCACACTATTTGCTCTTGATCATAAAAGATATGATATTAGTTACCTGAAGGTGTCTCTATGTTTTTGAAGACTGTAAAGTAGTTAACAAATTTAAACTAACCATTTTAGTTAAGATCAATGTGTGGGTCATTTCACTCTTTGATTCAAAACTTCACATTTTCACTCAAACTGCACTTTATTATTGCTGCAAGGCCTATGATGGTGTCATTTATTCATTCAGCAAATGTTTATTAAGCATCCATTCACTGTGATTCAGTATTGGGCTAAATTTGGAGAATTAATAAAAAATGATAGAGAAGATGACAAATTCCTTATCCTCCCAGAGTTAATTATAAATTGGGGTTATTGGGGGAGGCAGAAACTGAAGCACTGCAAAGAGGTAATCACCGCCAGAAGCTGATGGCACATAAACCTCCTCATTTGTTCCTGATCGTGTATGTGCCTCAGAGTATCGGTGATTTGTTTATTACATTTCTTTTCTTCCAGTGTTTTCCAATTGTTAGTGTCTCTTCGAAGGATTCTATTTTTTAATGCTAGGACATAGGCACCATGGTAAGAAAATAAGATCTGAAGTCCTAGAGCAAACCCAGGAGAAGGTAAATTTGGTAACAGCTGAAGGTCTTAGAGATACGATGAAGCTAGAAGTTACAGTGAATGGAGGATTCCAAGTTCAGTAAGGAACAAGCATTTACGCAAATAAAAACGTAATATTTTATTTTAAATAACTTTCTTTTTATTGTCAATATTTATGTTATGATATTGTGTCAATATTTTAGTATGTGGTTTTTGTTTTGTTGTTTTTGAGACAGGGTCTTGCTCTGTGTCCCAGGCTGGAGTGCAATGGTGTGATCATGGCTCACTGCAGACTCAAACTCATGTCCTCAAGTAATCCTTTGCCTCAGCCTCCCAAAATGCTGGGATTATAGACCTGTGCCACAGCACCTGGCCAAATATCTGTGAATTTTTTTCAGGATAGCAAAGTAAACATTATGCAATATCCATTGTAAAAATGCAGCATTCGGTTTCAGTAGGTTTGAGAAAGAAATGCCTTTAGAATTAGGTAGTTCCTAAAAAGTAATACTACTAATAATTAACGGTTAATCAAATACGCTGTTCTCGAAATCTGTCTGCATGTATAAAAAGAATCTATAAATAATGCTGAGTTCTCCTGACTTATAGCCTCAGATTCCAGAGACTATAATATTTATATCCACATGGCCATCTTATTGTGTTGTTTTATTTTAAATCCTTGATCTGATCTTTTAATGTAATGTATCCTCTACTTTGTTAACTTATTCTTCTGGCCAAGCCTAAACCTAATAGTTGCTGATGGTTGCCTTCTCAGTATCTA